ATAAAGTAATTGTTAACGTGACAATGAAGACCATTTTAAAAAGACGAGTGTTATTGTATTAATTGTAAAGCTAATGTGACTGATATGAGTATTAATTGTAAAGCTAATGTGACACAATTAAAAGATTAATGACATTGTAGTGATATGAATGACCTGATATAACCATTTGCAAGGCAATAAAATAATTATAAAGCCATGTCATTCAATAGTGTTTGAATTATTAGAGGACCCATATGGCCTTTCGAGGGACTCTCAAAATGCCTTTTAAATAACCAACAAAACCATGTCCTCATTTAACTTGCAAACTCTAAAGAGCTACCGTGTCACTTGAGCTTTTGATCATTATTTAATTATTGTTTCTTTCCTTATTACTTTATTCTATCAATAGGTGAATCCCGTATACTACACGGCTTGTTTAAAAAAATTATATATGAAGATATAAACTTTAAATAATTTTTTTAAAGAAAACATTAAATATCAATAAAAAACAACAAAGTATGATTATTTTTTTTATATAGACCATTTTGCCTAATGAACTTAAAAAAAAAACATGTCAATTTTGAATTATATATATTGAAGGAAACATATTAAAATTTGAAAATATAGGGAAACAAATTAATGACACATTAATTACTTTCTATAACCTAAAAATTAGATAATTAAGAAAATCAAAAATTACCACAAAATGACAAGTGAAAATTAATTTCTAAGAATTAACCACAAAATTACATGTGTCCAAATACATAAGAAATTGACAAGTGGCAAAAAGTTCTTTATTTATTAGGGAGGATTTATTCTTTATATATATATAATATTTAATTTATTCATTAAATGATATATTAGGAAGGGTAAATTGTATAATAGTCCATATGTTTTCATAAAAAAAATAAAATTTGATACGAACGTTATTGTTTGTCACAATTTAGTCACTAAATCTTCTAATTTTTGCAATGCTTGCTACTTAACCGATCAATCCAATTACCGGATGTAGCATGATAGCGTGTCAGTCTTTGATGATATGTTATGCTGACATGATATTATTTGGTTATGTGGCACTGACGTGAAAAAATGACGTGCCAATATTGAGAAAATAACACAATAGATATTAAGTTTTCCCTTTTTTAAACTTTAGACACTAAGTTTAAAAAAAAAAATCCATTTTGACATTCTATTTTTTTTATTCCAAATGGAATATCATTTTTCCTAATTTCATTCAAATGTTGGCCAATTATTTTTCCATTTTAAACCATATAAATAAATAAATAAATTATATTTGAAACCTTATAAATACATTCTTTTACATATAAAACCCACATTTGTGTATAAATACATATTTTTTAGATTTAAACTCTAATGTTACATATAAATATAATATGTATTTTTTTATGTTAAAACAATACTTTACATTAAATACACGGTTTTAATGTAAAATACGGCTTAAATGTAAATAAATACATGAAAACCAAGAAAAATACAAAATTTTGGAAAATATAACTACACCATTCTTTCACTAGAAACCATTTTTTTCTGTTTAGTTCATGTTTTAGTCAAATAACCGAATCTAAGCAAAACATCCTTAGTTCTAATTAATTTCTAACAAAAATTCAAATAAGTAAAAAATGATATTTCCTCAAATATAACTAAGATTTAATATCCTACAAAAATACACACCTAGAAAGTTGGAACGTAAAACATATAGTAGACAAAGTAGAATACAAATTACAATATATTCCCACAAAATAATAAGTGTGAACAAATGTTTGCTTTGAAAATGAGCAATACAAAATAATATGTTCTATAACAAAAAAAATTAAATAAAAGTGTGAACAAATGTTTTGACAGTGAACAGACTAAATCGAAGTTCCCAATTCATTGTTCTATATATATATATATATATATGGTAAAAATAACTTTCGAAGACCATTTCTTAAAAAGTGGTCAGCACAAATATAGATCCAAGTAATCCAAAACCATGGGTTGCAAATGACAAAACTTTGAAATATTCAAAGCAAATGGACATCGAATCACATAAAAGAAAGATATAACTGAACATTGTGCCTCTTGTAGAAAAAAGTGAGTAACAACTAACTAGTAACAACAAAACAATAAATTGCGCGCAACACATGCAATAATAAGACTAATATCATTTTTGTTTGAGATTAACTTTCAAACAATCATGAGGAAAGTACCATATGCTTGCGGTAAAAAACATGCCATTTCCACTTGTATAACTGTAAGCAAATTTCTTGTAATGCTGAAACCAAGAGTCAGACCACAACTCTCGTTTGATAGCAGCACTACGCTTGAAGTCACTAGCATAAAAGACTTATTCGTCCAGTGTCTTTTCTTCTGGAGACACCCATAACATTTCATCAAGATCTAGTTTATGAACCTGGTTGTCGAAGGACAAGCATTCCACAGCATAAATGTTTTCACCGGAACTTACCAACTGCAGAAAATCCGAGTCTGACTCCAGAATATTCTTGGTTTTAAGTAACATCAGTTTGGGCTTTGGATCGAGTCTCAGTCCATATAAACAAGAATCATCGTCTATTGCATATATCTTCCCGTTGAAATCAAGTAAATCAATGATGTCCGAAGTGGAGGAGACATAATCCCATTCTCTTTTACCCGCTATTGAAAACCATATTTTGGAGGTGTATCTGCATAAGACCACAAACACCCATGCAGCTATTGAAGGTGAGAAGACTAGAATAGTCCTGACTTCTTCTGGATCGGGATCAAAATAACTGGGGACTTTGGGGAAACGAAGTCCGTGCCTTGTGATAGGATTCATAAGCCAAAACTCAAGGGGCTTTCTCCCAAACATGACCAAATAACCACAAGTTAATCCAACACAGGTCTTGCCACCAGATTTGGGAATGTGCATTTTGACCTGTCTTCCATCAAAGTCCTCTGCAGAGTACTCTTTCTCCATAGCCTGCTCAAAGATCCATATGGGCATGGGTGGTCTGGATGCCATAAACCTGGTTTTGTTGGAGAGTGCAACTGACCTCCATGACTTGCAAACTCCACTGAATGCAAAAAAATCAAAGGCTCCGAGTTGCATCATAATTAAATAAATCAAATCATGGTCAAGATCTGACCAAGGTGCTGCGCCACTGGTACATCGGTCACCATAATTCTGGCTTTTGGTCACACTCTTTGACATAGTCATCCCTGCAGTTGAAAAAAAATAAATAAATAAATAAAAGAAATTAAGCAAGATCTTAGTAAATGCAAATTCACATAAGAGACACTAGTTATAAACAAGAGACAGGCACAACGAAAGAGGATTCTAAAGTGAGAACAAAGCACACGTTACATGTAATCAAAACCTTACATTAAACTAAAACACCAAATTTAATCAAACCCTAGAAAATCAAATAAACTAACTCAAATCACTTTATGTTCACATTGTTATAAGTTATGGGCGAATTAAAGACACTATCATTAGTCTGCTTGAGATTAGAGTCAATGAATTAAAAAAGTTAAATACAAGATCATGAAAGTGATGTACAGGCATACCGCTATTGAAAGTGATGCAGAAAAAGATACATTAAAATACAAAACAAATTTTGGAGTAAAACGAAAATATGAAACTTCAAAGTGATGAAGATTTGAACCTGACATCAATCAAAAGAAGCCGATAAGAAGAACAACTTACCGAAGTAGGGCGACTGTAGGAAATTCCGGCGATAGAAGTGGGGTTGAAGCCGTTTCCAGCGATGAGGGGGGAGGGGGGCGGGGGGGTTGCCTTTTCCGACGATAGCAGTGAGGCAGTATAGCGTTTTTTGCGATGGCAGCACGTTGAAGGAGAAGGAAGTACGAGGAAACGACAAACGATGCAACGCGTGAAGGAATCGGAGACCTATATTGTTTTTTTGAATAAAAATATATATAATTAGATAATGAAATCAAATTTATAAAACGTTAACCTGGTAAATAAGTTTTTCAAAGAACCACGATGATCTCGTAAAAAACTCCAAAACATCAGGAATTTTTTTAATTACGAACAATAGTGATAGGAAAAATTAGGGCTAACAAATATATTTTGACGGTGAACCATCCAACATGTTACCAACCGAACTAATAAAATCGGTACCCAACATGTTTGGCCGTTAATAACATACCAATTAAGTAGACTAGGTACGGTAATTGTATAAAAAATTTGAATACCACAGTTATACCGTAGAAACCATATATATCTCTCTCTCTCTCTCTCTCTCTCTCTCTCTCTCTCTCTCTCTCTCTCTCTCTCTCTCTCTCTCT